AAAAACCATTGGGGGGTGTCAGCAGGAGAAATGACACCATTTAATTAAGGTTTTAAAAAGATACCACGGACTGCGGTATGGAGAAGGAACTGCAGGGGCGAGAGGGAAGGCAGAGAGCAGGTAGGGACCATTAGATTTGTACAGGAAGAAGGAATGCACTGAGACCAGGAGAAACGCCGTCCAGGTGGCTGCAGGAGCCACCTGTGTGGATGGCGGTGTGCTGTGTGTTTGCCGGGAGGAGGACCTGGGAAGCAGCTTTTGTCGAGAGTGATCGAGACTTCCACTAGGCCTTTCAGGCATCCTAGTGGAGATGTTGGGGAGCTGGATACACGAATCTGGAGTTCTGGGGAGCACACGGGGCTGGAGATCTGGCTTCAGTGGCATGTGAAGGCTTGGGCTACATGTCACCAGGAATGGTGGAGAAGAGAAGGCCCGGCCAGAGGACCAGCTCACCAAGGCTCTGAGGCCCCAGAGCAAGGACTCAGACCCTCAGTGCTGGAGGAGCATGGAAACATGAGCGCCGGGCTGTTCCCCAGCCCAGAGTCAGGAGCAAGTCCTCTCAGACGGAGAGCCCATCCTGGGTGCACCTCGAGGGCTGGGACTGTCTGCACAGCTGTGCCTAGCACAGTGCCTGGTGCTTCAGGCCATTCGATGAAAGCTCAGTGAGCGAATAACCACGTACAATAGACTGAACGGGGCTGGCAAAGGAGTGCTGGGGTGCCACGCTTGCACCTAGTCTAGGAGTCCCCCGAGGATGGGGAGTAGTCAGCTTATCATGCTGCCACTCCAGGGGGTCTCCTTCCCCACCTATCACCCTAATCCCCCACCTCCTGCATCAGGGCTGTTGCTCCTGTCACTCACCGGGATGACACATGCCCTACAGAACTCGGCTCTGTCCTCTGCAGGCCGCCCTCTGGTTCCTGGCCGGACTCTGTCTCCTCTGAGGCCGGGGAGAAGGTGATGCCCTTGGAGCTGATGGTGCCAACAGCTGCTGAGGCGAGACAGCCCTGGAGTCCTCCTGCAATAGCCACAGCATCCCTCCTGTGTCACTGATCCATCCCCATGGGTCATGGGCAGAGGGCGGATGTTCCCAACCCAACGACAGAGGCAGGAGAGCCAGAGGAAGATGGAGAGAAGTGGGAGCCCCACGAGAGCAGTGGAGGCAGTGGTGAGACACACGCGAAGCAGGGAGGGGTCTTATTTCCTGCT